AAACACTGGAAACACAAATAACTTTTCATATCAAAGATACCAGAAGCAGATAAATCAAAGAAATTGAAATAAATTAATGTTTCGATCCAAACCAAAAAATCGAAGATCTAGGACTCAATCGAACCAAAGATCCAAATCAAACATATATATCGAAATCAAAATGACTGTGAAGCACTTGACTAAGTTGCCTCTCAGCTTGTCTCCGTCGCAGAGCAGTAAACACTGCTGTTGTGGCTGGTGGTAATGAGTTACGCTGTCGTTAGCAGAGATGAGTCGCCACCGCCACATTGCAAATCAAAGGACGATGAGAAGACAAAGAGCTAACGTCCATCGTCATCCTCACCAAAGTCGCTGCTGTCTTTCGTCGTCTCACCGAAGTCACCGTCATCCTCTCTGGTCCTCATCAGCGTCCTTATTGTTGAGGTATGACTCAAGAGGTAACATGGTTAGACCCTCTATTCTCAGCTGAATTTAGCGGTGCAGATGCTTAGGGCTTTAAAGAATGATCTTTGCCTGAGACCAACAAGTTTCATTAGCCACCATGGGGAAGACGACTGAACAAGCCCTTGGGATTGTGATTTTTAGATACAAAATAAAACAAATAAAAGATTTCTATTTCTATTAAAAACAAAGCCATGTCATTAGCTTATGTGTACAGAAAGTTAGGATTGTTTTAGTCAAACCACAGTTGAGTCATCAGTTGACGGTCAAAGAAAATGGATCTGTTAGCAATGAATATGGGCACACCATTTTAAATATTTTAGGGGCAAAAATGCATCACAAATAACACTGAATGCACTTGAGAAAATACTTTGTGATGCTGGACGCACCTTAACCTTAAAAAGTATGATTTTTTTTTTCTAAAACATTATAATTTTTTTTAATATCCTCTATCATTTTTACCTGGTTATGATTAAAAAAATATCAATAGAAATAATTTAAGAAAAATAATAAATATAAAAAATAAGGTTATATTTAAAAATAATATCAACTCAATAATTATATCCTCTATTAAAAATCAGTGGAGTATTCTCATTGCCTTGTGGCTTATCTTTAAGATATTCCTTCTTCACTTTTGCCCCCTGTTGGAATGTTCCCTTCACTTTTTTTCACCTCCTCGCTTTAATGTTTTTTATAAGAGAAAATCAGTAATCTTATCCCCACAGTGTAATTGCACATGGCAAATGATATGTTGTACTTACAGATCATACTTATACTTACACTATTCAGGTCTTTATGACCTATTAAAATTTCAGATAGGGATTTTTTTTTGCTAATTTTCCCTTTTATAAAGAACAAAATACGTTATAAATAAAAATAAAATATACAAGAATTAAAAAGAACTGAAAAAAAGGACCTGAAAATTGAGGGTCCTAAACTTAAAACAGCAGCAAAGGCATCTCCTCGCTTTAATAACAGCATGAAAGTGGACATATCTCATATCATGGTTTTTCCCTCTTACCTTTGTTCAATTGTAGAGTTATCTTGTTCTCATTTTAGCGGGGTTTTTTTTTGGTATTCTTTTACTTAGTTTTTGCAAGGGTTAATATTATATTTTTGTAAGGGTTAATATTATATTTAACATTAAAAATTTGATCTCATTTTCATTTTGATCCATGAAATTTGAAATAAGTGATTTTAGTTCCTCAAATTTTGTTTCGGAATCAAAACCAATGTTATGGCTAAGGACAAAAAAAAATTCAAATTTTAGAAACTAAAATCAAAGTGGGTCAAATTTCAAAAATTAAAAATAATATTAACCTTTTTAATGAATAAATTGTTTTCTTATTAAAAAAAAACATGAAAGCGGATAGATCAATATTAAAAGGGCTTGTGCTTGTTTGAAGTTTTGTTATATAAGTGTCCCTTCAATCTGTATTATATGGTGTCTCCTAGAATTAATTCAGGGTCCTTAATATAAATCATCTGAAAAATTATCAATTAACATACTCCTCCGGTCCTAATTATAGGACCCAATTGACTTATTTGAGGAGATTAAGGAAATAAGTTAAGTTGATTATTTATAATAAATAAGTGTTGTCATTCCTAAAATATCCTTGCTAATTAAGTATATTGGCTAAAACTATCATTATTAGAAGGATTATCTTGGAAAAAAATGCATAAATATAAGAGACAAAATGGATTGGGTCTTATAATTAGGACCAAATAAAAAGTCAAATTGGGTCTTATAATAAGGACCGGAGGAGTATTTGAATTTCACTTAAATTGCAAATCACTAAAAGAAGCACATGTACAAAGGGGTTTGTAGAGGTCATCGTTAGGTGCAAGAAAAGCAAATACCTGCTTAGTGCTTGCAATTTTCTAATTCTTTTATTGGATTCATACAACATGAACTCTTGAGATGCTAAAGAGCAAAATGAGTATGGAATTTTGGTTTCAAATATGTATAAATATTGGTAATTTAAGTTTGCCCTTATTTTGATTTTGGTCCTTCAAATCTCAAACTATAGGTTTTGATCCCTCAAGAGACAAAATAGTCTAAATTTTTATTAAATTCTAGAAACTAATGTTTTGAATGAAAAAAAACTTGAGGGATGAAAACCTCTGGTTTGAAACTTAAGGAACCAAAATCAAAATGAGGGCAAATTTGAGGACTAAAAATAATATTAACCCAAATATTTTTAAGAGAATTATATCCAATCAAGTCTAATAATGCTCAAATTTAATATAATAAAATTAAATATCATATAATCATATAAAAATAGAATTTCAAATGATTGTTTTCCTTCACGAACATGTGTGAATTCAAGCAGAGAAGCTTAAGCTTTACTTAAATTTAAATTTATGTACACGTAGAAAGCTTTTTTAGGAGTGGTGTTCTTATTTAAAGTCCAATATGACTGGACCTAAGTTACCATGATTTTCTATAAGAGCTATCAAATCAGGCCGAGCTCATCTTACTACTTCCGGTCCTTAATATAAAATTTTTTTTTATTTTGGTCCTAAATATAAGACTTCAATTTAATCTACTTTGTCTTTCATATTTATGCATTTTTTCCAAGGTAATCCTTGTAACAATAGTAGTTCTAGCTAATACACTTGATTAGTAAAGAATTTTTAGGAAAAATACCACCTATTTATTACAAATAACTAACTTAACTTCTTTCTTTAGTATTCTCAAATTAGTCAACTAACTCTTATAATTAATATCGAATGTAGTATTAAAACTCATCTAAGTGGAGGGCTTGGCTTATATTTAGAGGATTCAAAAAATTATGCTTAAATGGACTTGTTCTTTAGGACTCAAAAATAAAAAAAGATTAGCCAATTAAGAATAAAAACCAACCCATTTAGAGCCTATTTTTCATTATTAAAATTTGATGAATTATTAAAATAACCTATCGCCACTATTCACTAATCACTACTACTCACTAACGATATACGTTATGCAAGCCTCTCAATTTGGGGGGAAAAAAAACCTATGTCCATCTTCAATTTACCCACATAACTTGCGTCTAATATATGGTGTCATTCTTAGTTCCAGTTCTATAATCACATTCACGTTCAGTCGGCAATCAGATATTAATAATAAAGATAAAAGTCTTGATATTTCTGCCACTGAAGAAAAGTCTGTTTGTAATTAAAGACAATCTAAGTTTGTCTATCTTGATGGTAGTGATAAAAATAATAATCATGTTGATATTCTCGACAATGTTGTTAAGCTTTAGAGTATCTATTTGGTTTCAATGTTTATGATTGGTCTACTTTATTTAACTTTGGTCCTTTTTAAGTTTGGACAATAGTTAGTTAGGATTTAAGGTTTGATTTATATTAGTTTTGGAACTTTGAGCTGTAAATAAGCAATCATTTTATATACAAATCATGTAGAAGGGTATGAACTGTGGAGACTGTTTCTGATGTAAGTTTGTATTTTAGATCATCGCAAGTTACTCATTTAACTATTTTTTATTGTGATTATAAACTTGTCTGTGTATGAGTTGATGATTTTATCAAAAAAGGGGGACTAACATGCATTGATCACTCTCAAATACTCCTTTAGTCTTTAATATAAAACATATTTAATTATTTTAATTAGATTAAGGAAATTAGGTAAGTTAGTTAATTATAAGAAATATGATATATTTTTTCTAAAACACCATAATCATCTTTCTTAATATCCTCCCTCCCTCACTTATTTGATTATGGTTGAGGAAAAATCGATAAGGATAATTTAAAAAATTGATAAATATGAAAAATATGTCTTATATTTAAGATTAAAATTAACTTAATAATTAGGTCTTATATTAAGAACTGGAGAAGTATCTTTTAGATACATTTAATGTTTTAAAATATTTTATGATGTAATTTCACTCCTAATATATTAAAAAAGGATATTTGTGAAATTACACTACAAAATATATTAAGATGGTAAATGCATCTGAAAAAATATTTTAAAATACTCAATGCACTATTAAAAAAACAAATTCAACCGTACAAACCAATGATACCATAAAATTCCTGATGCTTATAAATGTGAAAAAAATACAAAAGAAAAGAAAATATAAATGATAGATGGGGGCTAGTATTTCATTAACTAAACTACCGAATCCCACTTGGGGGGGGGGGGGGGGATATCCTAACTGCCCACTCATCTACGATGTCGTCTCGGAAGAGATAATTGCGTGGAACCAGAAAGCCACTTTCGGCAACCTCAGGATATCTTCACAGCAACTTCGTTCCGAGAAGGAACCAAATTATCATTCGCCAACACAACCCTCTACGTCCTCCTCTCATTACATTCTTCAAGACACAACCTTTCCTCCGCGTGTCCTAATGTCACAATCACGGTCTCTCCCTTCGGAAGCGACACTTCCAGGTGACCCCTCTTCTCTTGCAGACGTGTTCCTCAATTCAATTCTGCCTCACCACAACAAATTCACATCCTCCGACTTTCCTTTTCAACCGTCCTTCTCGTCCTTCACATTTCACTCTCATTTGTCGCCATCCCTTTTTTTTTTTTTTTCCCTCTCTTTCTCTCTCCGTGTTTATCTCTTTGTTCTTTTCTATCAGTAACCGCCACGCTCAGTAAACTCCTCAAGAGTTTTATAATTATATTATGTGTAACTTGCTTTTTTGCTCGAGAGCTGTTTGATGGTTTGTTAAAAAGAGGGTGAGGTGAGTGCTTCCTCTGTCCTGCTTCTCCTGTGGGTCTCTTTTCAGTTATTTTATATATTTGTTTGTCTGAACTTTTCTTGGCTTGCGTATATGTGTTTATAAAACTAGCCATGTTGTATTTTTATATAGAGTTCTTCGTGTACCTGTCTGAGTCTGGTGCTTCTCTTGTCATCTGTTGGATTGCGAAAGCCGGTTTGGTTCTTTGGGAGGGGGGAAATGGAGGAAAGGTATGAGGCATTGAAGGAGCTTGGCTCTGGGAATTTCGGGGTGGCCAGGCTGGTCAGAGATAAGAAGACTAAAGAGCTCGCTGCTGTCAAATACATTGAAAGGGGGAAAAAGGTAAAATCTTCGTCGAGATTGATGCTACAGTGGTTAAATCCAGAAAGGGACTGATGATGTTTGATCAAATATTTCTATCCATTGACTATCCTTCTGTTATGCAATTTGAAGTTGAAATTTTGTTCTATCTCTGATAGTACATGAAAAGGCTTCTGGGCTACAATATTGTTATCATTATTTATATACCGGCTTTCTCTTTTGGTGGGATTATCATTTTGAAAACGGTAAGAAATTTTGCTAGATTGATTGAGTGGGTATAAAATTCTGCGACGTAGCGCTGTTAGATGAAATATTTCTGTTCTTTGACCTTCCTATCGTTGAGCAATTTGGAGTCGAAATTTGAACTTTATCGGCTACAAGATATTAATTTCTCTTGCTCTGCTCTTTCTTTTTTTGTTTGGTTGCTTTCTCTATGCATCGCCGCACTGCACTCAAGCCTTTTCTCTTGTGTAATAGTTTCTTCCAAATTGTTTGTTAACTCTGCTTTTCTTCTGAATTAATTATGTTTGTTGTGTTAGATTGATGAGAATGTTCAAAGGGAGATCATCAACCACCGATCTCTAAGGCATCCAAACATTATCAAGTTCAAAGAGGTGAGAAAGAACCTATTCCCAGTACCTTGAAAATATTCCATCATCGAGTTTCAACTTTCAAGGTATGGGATTAAGCATAATGAATTTATTTGCATGGTAGTGTGCCATTCTCCATTATTTTTATGCATGCAGCTCTCAGATTCCATCTTGCTTGGAATTGTTCTGAAAGGCAATGTTAATTACCAACTCAGAGAAACTAACAGTAGCTCATAATGTCTTTTCAATTCCATATCTCTTTGTGCTTTTCCATTTGAAAAAGACCAAACTTTATTCCAAGTGATTTTTCTGAGTGTTTGTGATTTGTTTCATTGAGATCTTTCTGAGGTTGTACTCATCAAAGTGCTGAATAAGATATCTTTTATGCAGATTGTGCTGACCCCAACCCATTTGGCTATTATCATGGAGTACGCTGCAGGTGGTGAACTCTTTGAGAGGATTTGCAGTGCTGGTAGATTCAGTGAAGATGAGGTTGTAGAATCTTTTTGAATATTCATTTAGACATGCATTAATGCAACCGCGTTAAAATCTTGCTGACTTTTTTTATGGTGAATTGTATATACACAGGCAAGATTTTTCTTCCAGCAGCTAATTTCTGGAGTTAGCTACTGTCATTCAATGGTACACACCCAATCCATTCACCATGTGCTCTTTGTTTCAAGATTTTTCATGTCTTGTATCAACTCTTGCTTCATACTTCAGGAGATTTGTCATAGAGATCTGAAATTAGAGAACACTCTCTTGGATGGAAGTCCGAATCCTCGGGTTAAAATATGTGACTTTGGTTACTCCAAGGTTGATAACTTCTCTCTAAAATGATCCATCTCAGAGATATTCCTGCTAATTTCTTACCATTGTTCAATTTCATATTCATCTGCAGTCTGCTTTACTTCATTCTCAACCTAAATCAACCGTTGGAACTCCGGCTTACATTGCTCCAGAGGTTTTGTCCCGAAAGGAGTATGATGGAAAGGTATTGAGAGTTCTCTACTATTCTTATCTGCTATAGCGCCTTGAACTTTATGTCATATGGTCTTCAGTGTACAGTTTTCTTTCCAATTTGGCTGTTTCATTAGATTGCAGACGTATGGTCCTGTGGTGTGACTTTGTATGTCATGTTAGTTGGAGCATACCCGTTTGAAGATCCTGATGATCCTAGGAATTTCCGAAAGACGATTGGGGTGAGCTTTTATATATAACTTCAAATTAAATTCCTTTTCCATTCGAATCTTTGATCTGCATCAGTAAACTTCAAGCTCTGATCACTTTTGTTGATACTTGACAGAGAATCTTGAGCGCTCAGTACAGCATCCCTGACTATGTGCGTGTCTCTGCGGACTGCAGGCATCTTCTTTCTTGCATATTTGTTGCCAATCCTGCCAAGGTATGTGTATTTTTTCTTATTTCTTATGATTCTGATGACCTTATCCCAAAAGTTAGCTAAAGAAGTGGGAGAACCAACCCACTTAAATATCCCATACTCGATCAATGTGGGACATAGTATCCACGCTATCGAGTTTTCATCATAATCATTCTACTAACCTACTTGGCCACTTAAATATCCCATGCTAACACTTTAGCTATCAAATAGACTATTTATTACTTGACGTAGTCTCGTTTGTTGATTTTCAAGAGGATAAGCATACCAGAGATAAAACAACACCCATGGTTTCTGAAGAACTTGGCGAAGGAGATGGGGAAAGGGAAGGACGAAGCAGAGAAAGAGGAAGGAAGGCAGAGTGTGGAAGAGATAATGAGGATCATACAGGAGGCAAGAACTACAGCGGGGCAAGGATCCAACGGTGGAGGCGTAGTTGGTGGAGGGTCATTGGACGGTGGGGATCTTCAGGCAGATGAGGAATCTGAAGTTGATGTTAGTGGTGACTATACTGAGAACTAGATTGCTTATCTATATCTGGTCTCAGCATTCTCTATTTCTCAGAAAGATCAAGTGGGGAAAAGGGGAATTAAAAACAAAAACAAAAGAAAGGAAAAAGTGGCTAGCTTTGAATTGGAGTTTGTATTTATTTATTGGAGTACCTGATTGTTGTGTAATTTTTAGCAAAGCCCAAGGGCAGAATTATATTTTTAACTGAATTATTTGTATACAAAGTGTATGAAGAAAAATATGTTTTCTAGTTTCTTTCATATAGTATACATAATAAATTATACGTATTTTATCAAATGTCAATGTATTTTGTCAGAATAAATTGTTGGTATTTTATTGGGAAAATTGCAAAAAAAAATAATGAAATCTGAAAAATTGCAAATAAGGACTCATTATAACATTACTATGGGTTTTAACAATAATAGTATAGATTTTGACAACAATTTTTGTAAACCGGTCTTCGTCTGCAATTTTTCAAATTCTATGGTTTTTTTTTTTGGTGATTTTTCTTATTTTATTTATACTCACACTATTCACATCTAAATTCATTAATTTAAACGAAGGTTGTTAAACTCGGGTCTAAACAAACTCGTGATAGGGATGCAAATTTGAATTTACGAGTTTAGTTTTATTAAAAAATTAGTATTAAAAGTATGCAATTAAATAATTAAAATGTAAAAAATAACAATAATTTTCTTAAATATATTTTAAATCTAAATAATTAAAATTGAATTCATCAACTTTCATAATTTATCATATTTAACAAAGAAAGTTTTATAAAATTCATATACAATGTTACTAAACATATCTAAATTTAAAAATTTAACACGAGTTTAAGAGGGAGTTGGTACAATTTTGCAGGTTAAAAACATTAAAAAAAAAAGTAAGTAAACTCACAAGTTTGACCGAATTTACAATTAACACCAGTTTAAAAATGACTCGACATGATTTTGTAAGTTAAAAACATAAAACATTAAATTTAGAGAGTCAACTTGTGAGTTTACAACAACGATTTAAACCTTTACGCTATATTTGGTATGGGTTTTCATATGAGAGGAGAGGGAAGGTGCTCCCCTCCCCTCATTTTGCTGGAACATTTTTAAAGAGATGAAAGGGAGTTGCTTTTCTCCTCTCACTTGGCCGAAACAATTTTTAAAAGGGGAGGGGCTTTTATTTCTTCCTTTCTTCTTCCTAGCCTTTTGTTTTGAAAATGGGGTTTTTCTTAGAAGAGACGAGAAAAAATATTTTATTTTATAACTAACCTTAATAAAATAACATGATTTTCTTTTTATTGTCTCTTTGGCCCTCTCACTCTACTCTTCTCTCTTACTACTGCAATTCTAATAACTCTAATAAACTCAACTTCATTTTCCTCCTATATTCAACAATTCAATTAGAAAAACCAAACTACTAAAAACTTTGTTAAAAATATGAAATAACAAAAATCATTGGAAAAAAAACCATGAAGAATTATAATATTTTTGAAAAAGTCAATATAGAGTAATGTCAACTTAAACTAGATTAAAATATTAATAAGCATCTTTTAATCTTTTAATTCATTAAGAATTTAAGAATAAGGAAATAAAAGATAAAAAAAATGTAAAAGTGTAATTTTTCTTTAAGAAAATTGGGGATAAATCCTTTAAAAATTAATTGGCAAATAGTACTTAGGATGATGGATTATATAAAGAAAGATAACTTGTACACATAGGGAAGATGATTTGCAAGAATTATAAGAGACTAATTTACACATAAGGATGATAATTTGTACATAAAAAAAAATGGGTTGCAAAAAAGAGAAGTTCAGTTGCATAAAGAGATGATATAACACAAGAAAGGATTGATTGTACATAAAGAAAGTTAAGTTGCACAAAATTTTTAAGTACTCTTATAATCCTTAATATAAGACCTAATTATTGAGTTGATTTTGGTCCTAAATATAAGATCTGGTTTTTATATTTATCAATTTTTTTCTAAATTACCTATATGATACTCCCTCAGACCCTCAACCATAATTAAGTAGAAGATGGAGGGAGGATATTAAGAGAGATAATTATGGTGTTTAGAAAAAAAACATATTATACTTCTTATAATTAACTAACTTACCTAACTTTCTTAATCCAATCAAATTAATTAAATAGGTTTATATTAAAGATCAGAAGAGTACTATTTATCAAATTAATTCTCAATAAAGATTAATCCCCAATTTTTCCCTTTTCTTTTGAACCGAATGGAATTAGTGAACAACATTATGGAAAGAAATGAGATTTTTTTTTTTGAATGAGTTGTGCTTGTGGCAAAGCACAATCTTTTTTTTTTTTTTAAGTTAGTAAATTGTCTCATACATATTTACATATTAATAAAATAAAAAATAGAAAAAAATTTATTTATAAGAGTAAAATAGTTAATTTTTAAATAGCTTCCTTTCTTCCTCTCTTATACCAAACAAGGTATCATTAAAATGTCTCCCTCTCCCCTCCAATAAATCTAAACAAAGGATCATTGAAATCTCTTCCCTCTCCTCCCCTTCCTTCCCCTCCCTTCTATATCTTTCCTCCTCTTCCTTTCCTTCCATCCCCTCCTTTAAAGTATTCATCAAAATCTTCTAGTTAGATTGAAGCAAACAAATTATATAAATATTAATAGTTTTAATACAAGAGTTAGTAGTAAATTGGATTTGATCCAAAATAAAAAATATCTATTCATTTTATCTCTTATATTTATTATCATTTAAAAACTAATTTAATTAACTTTTAAATTGTTATATAATCTAATGTTATACATGCTTATTTTAAAAAAGATGTGATTACATTTACTATAATTACTAATAATTAACTAAGTAATTTAAATTTTCTAATCTATTTAAATTAATTCTATAATTTAAATTTGTTTTACCCATATTAAATAAGTCAACTGCCTTTTTTTTTTTACTTATATTGTAGACAAGAGGGATTATCAAATTATTTTGAAAACTTAAGGATTTAATGTTTGGTAGATTAGGATAAAATTTTACTGCAATCAAATAAGCTTCTTAGATAAGAGATCTTTTAAAGTATTATCATCGAATTTTAAAAAGGAAAAAATGAAACCAATACAAAAGAAATTGGCTAGAGGCAATTACAGTGAAATACTACCTCTAATTATTAATATAAAATCTAATTTAACTTTTATTTGATTTTTATAAATTAGTTAACTGAGTTTTTTTTTAGGGATAACAATGGTTGGATGGCTAAAAATGAGAATTAGTTAACTGAGTTTTGTATTAGGAATAAGAGGTAATATATGACAAACAATGGCTGCACGGCCAAAAATAAGAATGAAAAGAAAACAAGGCTGACGGCATCCAACGATGACAAGCTGAACGCGGGAAAAAGGTAAAATGCCGTTAAAACGGCAGGGGGAAAAAGATGATCCGTTAGGGTAGCTAACGGTTCGGGGTTTTGAACCCGACGTGAATCGAACACGCAACCTTCTGATCTGGAGTCAGACGCGCTACCATTGCGCCACGGATCCGTTGGTGGTGGGAGGCCCATATTAATTATATTTATTGTAAATAAACAACCACCATATTTCATCTCAAGTAGAAGAAAGATAAGAGATAAACCACCTTAATGTATATCTTTTGCCAGTATAAGAGCGATTTCGGAATGAAAACTAGGGACCGCATATTTAATTTAATAAATTTTCGTTCATTTAGCAAATAAATAGTTTATACATAATTTATCTGCACAAAGATTCTTTTGTTTTTTCCCTCCTGAGTCATACTTTCCCACAAGACTTTCAAGCAAAGTCTGGCCAAACTATGCTTTTCTCCATAACCATCATTCCTCTTTTTTTCCCCCATTCTCCATAATGAATATATCTATAATTATAATTAGAATACTATTTGGACGTCTTGAATTTCATCATGAATTAGGAATTAGGCCTAACAACCCGCACACCATAATTCCAGAATAGACTACGAGGCTTGGGACCAAGTGGCGCATAGCCGAGTGATTTCACCTTCAAGTGAATGATTGAGGCCATATCATTTCAAGAAACAAACAAATAAGCGTTGGGAGAGGTAAAAAAGACAAACTTTTTCAGATTATCTGAACAATTATTCATTCATTTTCCTTCAACCACGCCCTCGATTCGAACTGAATTCTCAACTTCTCAACAAGTCACGCTGCTTTCTACTCTCCACGCTATGAATCACACAGAATCAGTATGACTACTCTGTGTCGCATTCGTTCCGTCACTCCTATAACTAGACCTCTCTTCCTGGTCAACGAACTCTTACTCTTTGTCGCTGCTCTATTGCTCGATCCACAAGCTTAATCCTTTTTCTGGGTCTTCATCTTCATCTGCTTCTCCGTTTCTCCAATGGCTCGTAGGCGAAATGAACCAGAGCTCACTGTTTCTACTCGTTTGATTCTCCTGATGGTGTGCTTGGTTTCATGCGGCATGGTCTATGCTTTCGTCACTTCTGTGCTTGCAATCTCTGGCGGTAGCTCTTCAGGTTCAAGCTCTGATTCCATAGCACTGGCCGACCAAGATGGTGCTACTGCCAGGGCGGATCAGGGTCATGGAGGATGCTGTAGAGGAATTGATAATTTGGAGCTCTGGGGTGCCGCTGTGAAGTGGGGTTCTGAGTTTAAATTCAACAATTCTGAAGATTGCTGCAACGCTTGTAAATCCATGTGTACTGGGAAGGATGGGCCGTGTCTGTGTGATACATGGGTGTTTTGTGGGAATCGTGAGACCTGCGGATCCAAATTTGGTGAGGCAAGTTACTTTCTAATTCTTGGTTCAAGATCCACCCTTTGCTGAATGGCTGTAATCGCCTGACCCTTCTTATGCTGGAAGCTAATTTGACAGATGAATATATACGTTCATTAACATATTACTCCTTTAGTTCTAGATCCTATCTCTTTATATTGATTCTTTGCACGAATGTTGATTCAAACATCCAATGTAAGAAGTAAAATAGAGCACTGTTGGTCGTCACACTATGGTAGAAAGAATTACATTCATTTCCAGGTTTTAGATATATTATTTCTTTTGGATACTTATTATGACAATGAGTATAGAAGTCAATGCATTTATCTTCATTATTTCAGTGTTGGTTGAAGAAACAAAAGGACAGCTTAGCCCCTGAACGGCAAGGAGGAAAGGACATAGTTGGCTGGACTTCTGGTATCATCTACGGGAAAGGGGAGGTACGAGAAGTTTGATATTTTAGAATGAATGGAGGAATTACTATTACATTCTCCACCTGAGGCAGATATTTTAGGTGAATGTGTTGTAAAGAACTGCTATTAACAAATGAAGCTAAGGCATGCTTTAGCCTTCGCTCTTCCATACTGGCCCTGAAATGTGTGATGAACCTAAAAGATGCTGACCAAGTCAACGTGGAAGCCCTATTGGCTTGTCAATTTTATGCTAATTATCTTCAAAATGGAGTTTTCTTTTGGTCATTCCCAACAAGTCTTGAGATGGGGTTTCTTGCTGAGAAACGAACAGTTGTTCACCATTATCTCGTGCTGGTAACCTTCTGTTGGTAATGCTGCTGAGCTGAGATGGCCTTGCATACTTATTCCTTGAATATGTATTTGATCTCAATGGGGCATATTGCACCTTTGCTAAAAATTTGATGACAGAACCTTTGGTAAAAGCATGCCATTGATCATTATGGTAATTAGAAGGTGCTTTGATATGCACAATCTTTGATGATTGTGTTCTATATAGCTTTGCTCACAAGATGTATCACCTAGCCAACCTACTGGCTATTTTAGATTATGTACTAAGGTGTGGATTGCTTGATGGGGTGAGTATGATATATCGGAGTAGGACACCAACTTTGGTATCAAATACTTATGATTATTGAATATTCTTGGGCAGATTACACTCTGTAAAATTCTGTTCTCTCTTTCCATCATCAGTTATACAGGTCCCTGTATGATGCAATACAAAGTTTGAACTTTACATGTTTATGAAAGTTTAAATTATTCGTTAATGTACTTTTCCCACTTATTTACTTGCAGGGCATTATTGGGCTAGAGACAGAATATGGAACTCTTCATATAAAGGTAAGTGCTCATGCCTATGCGTCTGAAATCAAACTGGAGAGGTTGTGTGCTTGAAGGTGCAATTGGGAACCCTTTTCCAAGTACCATAAATTTAGTTGTCAAAATACAACTTGCATGTTTGTCTGATCTTGTAAACTCTTGAAGCATTTCTCTCTTTCCCAATGTACAATTGATAGCACAGAAGTGCACAAAATACCCGTTTGGCTGCTAACTTGGATGAAATGTCTCTGAAGATAATATCTGAGACAGTGGGTTTTTGCTCCCTCTCTGGGGTAGAACCTGATGCAGTTATCAACCCAAGAGATTGTTATTTAATCTGGCATTCATCATGATGTGCTGTTGTCATCTGTAGATTAACTTTTCAGTGACTAGTTTTTTATGTACATCTTGTACTAATACTATATGGTGCAGCTTTTTCCGGACTGCGCCCCTCATTCTGTTGCTTACATTCTAGAGCTGTTGGCTTTGAGCCATTGTGCCGGCTGCCACTTTTATCGTGCTGAGAGCCGAGGCGAATCGTGGGATTCAGCGGGAAACCACATAGAAAATGTAACATTGTGATTTGCAGATCTAATGCTTTGTGGCACATAAATGCATACTCGTACTTTCTTTATCACGCTACAAATCCAGATTCTGTAATGGAATAATCCTGTTTTCTTTCAGGCTGTTTTTGGACCACCATATGGATTGGTTCAAGGGGTACTAGAAGCACAAGGGACCACATTCAAGGGAATCCCCATAGAAGATTGCCCTATTATTAAGAGGGGTTCAGTTGCTTGGGTTGGTTCTGGCCCCGCATTCTTTATTAGCCTAGCTAATCATGTGGAGTGGGGAAATTCGCACACAGTATTTGGATCTGTTTTTCCAGAAGACATGCATATCGTCGAGAGAATTGCTACACTTCCCACTACATCTGATGTTTGGAACAATGTTAATGTTACCGTCTTGGAAAAACTTGTCCCCTTGTTCTTACGAAGAATCGAGAAAAGCTACGGAGAGTTTTAACATTAGTACTAATTCAGATAGAAACATTCTGTTGATGCAATTGTGAACTAATAATGTGCGTTTCTAAGAGCAGACGTCTGTGATTCCGCAATTTTGTTTTGTTTTGTTTTTTTTTTTTTCCAAGACACTTCTGCCATGTATTTTTGTCATCATGTGATTCTCTTGCTCATATTGTCTGCTACAATTTTACTGTGAAGCAAGCATTTCCAAATTCAAACGAAAGAATAGTGATATTCCTTGAAAGAACTATGATTGGGAAATTGGATTATTTAGTTTAGTTATTCTATAGTGGAATCAAAATTCTTGACTAGTTACGTTGCATAGGATATCTACTACGGGTATCATACTTCCGAGCAAACCGTAATGAAATCATGAATAGAGATTCATGTACCACAGATTCAAAAATCAATTTAGAAGAAGCAACGTAATTAGATTTAATGGGGTAGAGCCAACCCCTAGGGGTTTAAAGTCTTGAATACATGAATGTTCTTGATTGTAACTTCTCTATAGATGTAGGGAATTAGAAGACCAAACACGGAACCTAAGCAATCGTCTCATATTCTTAATCCTAACAAATCATCCATAAAAACAGTCACTAAGATCCCAACCACTAATGATGTGCTAGTTGCAGCTTCAGACTCGTGGTGAATTAGGAGACGAGCCCGTCCATGGCATGGCTTCAGCTGGCTTCTTGGCATTGTTTGTTTGATATGGAGCTCTGGCAGCGATTCTGAAAATGCAAAAGAACAACAAACTTGTCATTTAATTGAAACAATAATATAATATAAACAGAGATGGAACAAGCAACATTTCTTGATCAAAGGTATTTGTTTGAGAGAGCCTACCTATCCTTCCTCTTCTCCAAGAACCGATGAAGTGAAGCTTTCCTAGCAATTGGTAGATCTGTATGGAAAGAAAATTGATGATCAGAAACACAATATTTCTTCCACTGTCACAAAAGCAGGCATGCGAAGACAAAAGGGAATTACCAGCAATAACAGGTCTGGGTTGTGCTTGAGAGTGCTCTTTAACCAAATTGCTGGCAACATTAGAATCAGCAGAGATTGTGACCAACTTAGGAGGAAATGAAGGATATGTATAAGCAGATCTGTTTTGAGTTTGGGAGATTCCTTTGCGTGCAAGGGACATGATCTCCTTGGCTTTCTCAGCTGGAAAATCATCAAACACAAGAACTTGTCCCCCATAGAAGATAGTTAACTGTTCAGATTTGGGCTCCTTACTTGCAGAATTCATCACACTGTACATCAGGAAAAGAGATCTTACATCAATAATCAAGATTATTCGGTCATTATGGTTTTTGAAAATCTTACCAGAAATTGAAGAAACAAGGTAACACACCTGGGATTCGTGGCAGTATGGGTCGGAAGAAGGTTCTTCATTGTTGCAGATTGACAAGATGTCTCAACAGACCCTGTAAAGATGATTTCAAGTTCAGCGATCTCCAAAGGCATACAAGTCAAGTATGGAATCTAACCCATGTCCCAAAATATTCTCCAGTCTACTCAAATATCTCAAACCTTGTATTGTTCCCAATTTGGAAACCAAGGACAAGGAAAAGAAGAAAAAGTCCAACGTTTCGGCTAACATAAACAGAGTTTTTATGGGAGTGAGTTTCGAAATGTTCACATAACTGTTCAAAAATATTTAAATTCTAAGCTCCAAATCTTATGATTAGGACATTAATTCTTCTCAAGTTAGGGAAAATTACACAGGCGCATGATGCATTTATCAGATCTATAGTTTCAAACTAATAATAAACAAGAGGAAAACGAAAATTAGAAATGGCAGGAAACTTGTCTCCTATAATTCTATCCTAGGATTTCTTCAAATTACTTCAATGGCGAACGAAGTAAGAGGAAAGGAATTACATCTCTTTTTTTCCGGGGAGCCAAACAGTGAACATGCAGCACCCGATACTTTTCAAGGGGCAAGAAAAGGGCAAGGGAAAGAAGAAGGCGGCAAAGGAAAATTTTAAAACCTCAAGAAAATCAAACCGTACCAGTTCCATTGATGTTGCCTGTCATTCCAAGACTAAGATCTCCGAAGCTGAAGCCGCCTTTTTCCTTGAGGTACTGACTCAACAGGCTACAAGTCTGCGAGAAGGCAGACTGCTCCGACGACTTGACCGGCTTCAAGTCAGAAACCTCCGAGTTCTCCGACGAGCAGGACATATTTGCCGGCGAACACAACCAAAAAGGCTCACCGCTCTCTCTCTCTCTCTTTCTCTGTGACTGCAAAAATCTGAAATTGCGGAGAGTGAAGAGAAGGACAGGATTATATAATTTCTGGAGGGCAAAAAGAAAGATAAAGAAGGGGAAATTAAAGCACGAGGAATAAATGGGGTAATTAAAAAACTGAAAAGTCGCATATAGTGGAAGCTGTACAAAACAATTCAAAACAAGTCGTGAAGTAGACGCTCCCATAAACATTTTTATATTAATTCGATTTAATTTAATAAATAAATAATCCTAATAATTTGTGCGGTGGTGGGGGTGACTCATTTCCACACGTGTTCCTTGCGGTGGGTCGTCACAACTCACGACATAAATGAAAACGGCAAAGCCTGTCGCTGCCTTTGTTTCCCTTCGTACCACTGGAAAATGACAATCCATCTTGGTTACAGATATCTTATGAATTAAGTTTTTTCCCCTTAGAAACTTTATTAGTACTAATTACATGATTAATTTTCTTTATCTTATCTGTTTTTGTGGACCTATTCTCTTTTTTCCTCTCTTATTAACACAAGATCTAACTAAGTCTTATCTGATGATTGCATATCATTATTTTAATGTTGTGTATAATGTTTTAGCAGATTATAACATTGTTATACACCTAAGAACTAACCTTTTAAGATGTATTAAATTTCAGGGACTAAATATGTGTTTAAAATTTGATAGATTAAAACTAAAATAAGTCCAAATTTTAGAGATTATAAATTATATTAATCCTACTTATATTATTAAAATTAGGCGAACCTTCTGTAATTATCATACAGCTGAAAAATAATTATTAATGTCTAAAATATCTTATCAATTAAATTCTCTCATCAGAAATTAAAAACTATCAGTACTAATCAATAGTTACATGACTAATTTCCCCCAGCAATTACATTACTATTACCTCCGATTCTAATTATAAGATCTCGTTTGTAGTAATTAGACCTCGTTTGTAGTTTACAAATGAGGTCTTATAATTAGGATCGGAGATAGTAATTTACTTTTACTTAATTCTATCAGAAGGAATTAACACTATTACTAATCAACAATTATATTACCAATTTACTTTTACTTAATTAAATTATTAAAACTGCATGGACTCTGTAATTTATATTGTCATAGAGATAAAAGCAAACTCATATGGTTTACTCTCTCTATTCAGTTATAAGGCATTTTCTACTCTTTTCATGTTCAAAATTATAAGGCACTTTTGGTTTTTTTTAAGGGGTAGCTAATGAAGTTTTTATTAAAATATCCTTAATTAATGCTCCCTTTATTATTCTAAATTATAAGGCGTTTATCAAAAGCATTATGTTCAGAAATATAAGGCATTTTTTCCTTTCAAAGTGGAATTAATATTGAATGTGAAATTTTAAAGGAAAAATTAATTTTTTTTGTCCTTATAGTTTTAACCCGTTTATAACTCAATTTTGACACTTTGACTCAATACAATTCAGTTTTATAGTTTTGACTTTATTGTGACTTAGTCCCTAAAATTTGATTGGCTGCAATTCAATCCCTATAATTTTACCAATTTTATGATTTAGTCTTGTGTTTTAGAAAAATAAAATTATATATCTAATAAAAGAAGGGACTAAATTATAAAATACTTAAAAGCATAGGAGCCGAGTTGCGGCAAGTCAAATTTCAAGAACTAAGTTACAATTGAGTCGAAACTATAAAAACTTAATTGCATCGACTGAAAGTATAAAAACTGAGTTACAAATGAATTAAAATTATAGGGACCAAAAGATTAATTATTCCAATTTTAAAAGCCATTGGCTAATTTGTTTGGAGTGTAAATTAGTTAAAAGTTCCTTATAATTTTGAGTGGAAGAACTATTTGAGATTATGATATTTTCATATTTATTTGTGATCAAGTTACCTATTAAATAATAAGAGGGTACATGATTTCACAAGAAAAATAAAGAAAGAAAAGAGTGAGTAGGCTTTAATAATATTATTTGTTTTTTCTGACTTGGAAGTTAGTTAAAAGTTTCTTATAACTTTAAATCAAAAGACTACGGTATATGGATGCTATAACTTCTTATAGATTTCATACTTGATATTTTTTTTCGCACAAGCATACTTTTTATCCTATTAGAAGTAATCTTAATCAAAATAATATTAGTAACTAAATGTAGGTATTCTCCCTAATGAAAATTTGAATATTGGTTCTTCACGCATTAAAAATGAATAATAATTTGGAAAAAAATCAGGAATCATTTCAAAAAGTATAAAAAAAAAAAGTTTTTCAAACAAAGTTAAAATTTAAATTTTTTGGGGATTATTTTATTTTAAGAATTTTTATTAATTATTATTCCTACTTTATGATTAGACTTGGTTGGTTCTTTTTATTTTATTTGGCTCTCACCCCCACAACTCATCATTTTTGTCTCTCGTTTTCTTTGACCCCATGCTGGTTAAAAATTATCTCTTTGCCGCTAAGCAAGATTAACTTAATCAGTATGTTTAATTAAGCAAGGTTTAACTTCATCACTTCGTTAGGAACGTCCCTTGTTAAGATATCAAGTTTACTAAGGTTTTCATTTTTAAAATGCGATAAGCTCGGGTCTACTATTGACTACTGGTTGACTGATTTTGACAGAGCCATCCCCTGTGCGTGGAGAGGGGAATTCTATTTTCCAAAATAGTATGCATTATAAAAAGATATGTCGCGGTGAACCGACCAGTACAAATATAAGTCACCCCTAAGTCTGAGTGCCCGTTTGGATGAGCGATTGGAAAAGCTGCTTATTGAAAAAGCAGCTTATGAATAAGTGAAGTGGGGTAAAAGTTAAATCGGATAAGCTGAATTGTGTTTGGATTGGAGTTCAGAAAAACCCATTTACAAAAGTGAGATTGGTAAAAAGTTGTCTGGATTATGGTTGAGTAAAAGTAAGTGTAGTTGTAAAATGATCAAAATGGGTATGAGTTTTAATAAATAATAAAAAATGGAAAAAAATAATTTCACATAATACAATGGAATTAAAATAAATTAATATGAATAAGTGAATTAAATTTAAAAATTTAGAGAAATCAAAAAAATTAAGCTCCTACACAGTAAGCTCCTACACAGTAAGGAAATAAGCCACAAAAATGTAGAGAAATCAAAAAAATTAGGCCCCAGCTGAGTGAAAATGACCCGCCCCTACACTTTTCAACGGTAAAAAAAAAAAAGCTCCTACACAGGAAGAAAATAAGCCACAAAATTCAGCTTAAGACAGACCGCACGTTTTGGAGCTTAAAGTGTATAAGTTGCTTTTTTTTTTAAGCCCAACCAAACACAACATCTTCAGCCAATTGGGCTGATAAGTAAAATAAGCTGTTTTAAACCCAAATAAGCCTTGCCAAACGGACCCTGAATCTAGTGAAAGAGATTAACTTCTCATAATATAGCAAACTACCTAACAGTACTTTGAACACAATTATTTTTAATAAAACCATATTTATATTTAGAAAAAATATATAAATATAAGTCACTTATCACTAGTTCATACCCATCAATAAAAATAATTAAAAATATTAAATTTGTCATAAAATTCAGGCAAACACCAACATTATATTAAATTTTTTTACTATCCTCATCGAATATGAAATACTCATCTTCACTCTGATGAAATGTACTAGTAAAAGTAACTTATAAGTTATAAATTGCTTTTTCCTAAATAAAATAAAAAAATATAAAAAATTTATTTAATACTCTCCCGGTTCTAAATATAAGACCCATTTTATTGTGTAATTTATACCATTTTGTTATATAATTTATACTATAAAATAATCCTTATATTTAGAATAGGAGGGAGTATTTCTTAAAACGGCCGGATGCCTCGTAAAAACAGGCACCTATTAAAAAGCATCCCATGATACTCCCTCTTGTTTTTTGGGTAAATTTGGAGGCATCCCCTTATCAAATTAAATTAAAACAAAACGTGGGAAAGCAATTTCCAAGAAATATCAGGATGAAAACCAAATCATAATTTTAAAAATAATTTTATGACGTACAAATAAATATGTAAAGAAATTTGTTTCGATTCATAGAAGTACCTTTTTTAAAAACACTGTTAGAGTATTCCAAACATCCCAAAATCATAGTATAAAAACTCCATTAATAATGATGTGTAAATATTGCACGGACAGCTCTTATTGACAGGATAATTGGATGTACTAGGCATAAGCAATTGGAGGTAAGTTTTACCCTAATCTTTATTCTTTCACTATCCTCATTAAATATGGCCATATCTTGTAAAAAAAATATTTAATACTCATTTAAACTATCAAATTTCTTATAAAAATACTAATAATCTCTTCCGAAAGGGATCCTATAATAAGTAAGGAGCAGAGGGAGTAATAAATAGTAACCATAGCAGGAGAATATTAAAAATTAAAAAAAAAATTATGTTAAGCATCACTAGACACTTGTAAAAGACGCACACACGCCTTTTTTTTTTTTTTTTCCCGAATTATTATTATATAAGTTAGGCTTAGGATAATGTGGGGAGTTGAGTGGATTAGTTAGGCAGCTATGGTCCACGCAAACGCACTGTGGACTAGCTTCATGTGATTTACTTTAAATTTAAGCCAATAATTGATCTGATTAAGATATTAATATACTCCCTTCGTTCCTTATTATAAGAGACATTTGATGCTTATGGTATGTTTCCATATATAAGAGACACTTAAAAGTTGTCTCTATTTTTTTGTATTGATTTCTTATTTTACCCCTATTTATTTTGTCTCCAACTCATACTCTCTCTCTCTCCCACTTCTCTTTCTTTTAATAATTTAATTGTTCTATTTCATACTCTCTCTCCTTATTAATGAAGGTATTGTTGGAAAAAAAATATTATACTTTTTACATATTAATTGTTCTCAATTAATTTTAACTGTTTTTTTTTATCAACGTAATTTGGTTATTTGTCTCTTATAATAAGGAACGGAGGGAGTAATATTTAATGGATTAACTATAATTAAATGAACAGATAAAAATAACCTTTTAACTATATAGGTTTCATCAGTCAGCATTTTCTGATCTATTCATA